TTTTATTATATAATCATGAACAAAATCATAATTATGCATATACATTTAAATATTATATATATGCATCCATATAGATATTCATATATATATATATATATTTATATTTATATGTATATATATATATATATATATATGTGTGTGTATATATAGATGTATATATATGTGTGTGTCTGTGTGTGGGGGTATATATATATATATCTCTCTCTCTTGTACAATATATATATATATATGTATTTGTGTCGGTGTCTGTGTGGGTATGTTAGTATGTTTGTATGCATGTATGAATTGAAGTATATGTGTCTGTGTCTGCGTGTGTCAGTTCTTTTATTGTGTATCTCACTATCCAGTTACCTTTATCAACTGCTATGAAGTCTAGCTTACTTCATTGCGTATATACATTCCTGAAATTTCCATTGATAATCTCTGTCCCTTTCCAGATTCACCCCTAAAGAGAGCATCAGCGGTCAGACCCAGACGAAGTCGTCCGTGGCACGTGGTATCCGCCAGAAAGTATTAGATTCGTACCCCATGCTAGAAGATGAGATCGAGTCTCTGTTCCCCAAAAAGCAGCCCCTCTTTCTTGTCAAATGGTGAGTGATTGGGCACACGTATATTAATCTGTCCAGATGATAGTCCTGTGAATATATGTGCCACTTCTAAATTCCTTCCCTCTGCTTTCCTATGTGCACTATGTGTTTCGCAGATATAGTTGGCACGTCCCACATATAAAATACTTCAATAGTATTGATAAATGTCTGTATTTCGTAGCCATGATCGTATTCAGATGATACACAGCAACGGCGAGCCACTGTTCTTCAACGAACATGACGGACCATGGATTCCCACACTACGGTTGCTACACAAATGTAAGTCGGCGGATGCTATTTGCTTTTGCTTACGTGTGTATACAAATTTATATTGTACATTAGATTGAGTTTCTTTGTTGCTATCAATAGCAGCACACTGTCATCTAACCTTAAAATCGGGTTTATGCGCCTTTTCCAGACCCTGACCTGCTGCCTCATGAACAAGTGGACAAAGGCGCCATTCGTTTTGTACTCAGTGGTGCACATATCATGTGCCCGGGATTAACGTCACCTGGCGCCAAAATGAGCCCAGCGGAGAAGGAGACTGTCGTGGTAAGCTTGTCTCTGTATATAGTGCAAAAGTATTTGTTACATTCCGAGTGTGTATGCTATATGTGACCTGAGCTGTGTGTATGGTCATTGTCGTATATTTGTCGATGGAAATAACGTTGTTACGTGCCAATCTTCTTGTTTACTCAGGTGGTCGAACAGAGTGTGTGCGCGACGTGTATTTCCTATATTCCCTGTGCGAATATCTCTTACCTTATCACTATTCTCTTTTGTTTGGCGACCTGCACAGGCTATCATGGGCGAGGGGAAGACGCACGCTATGGCCATCGGCAGGATGAAGATGTCCAGTGAAGACATGTGAGTTCACCCTATCGCAATGTGTGCTATTTTCAACTTTTAGATCCCTCGTGCGCGCTGCTATGATGTATATCATGTTTTATTCGTGCGCTTACTTCTGCAATCAAAGTACAATTTATATTTCACACCGCATGTATTACAGCAACCCATATTGAGTAAATATCTCGTTCTCCTCCGCACAGCCAATCTAAAAACAAAGGAATTGGAGTCGACAACATGCACTACCTCCAAGATGGTCTGTGGCAGACTAAAACTCTGACATGATTATGAAATATTAAAAAATAGAATTCATCTCGTGACTAGTCGGTCCTTGCCTTCAGCTTCATTTGTCCATCTGGTGATTCTGTGGGATTTTTTTGGCAATTTGAGCGAAAGTAGATCGGATATAAGTCTGCAAAACAAAACAAAATGATGTTATCCCTCTGCTCATCACCTTAGCTCTTGTTTTTACCCATAACAACAACGCCATATTAGGGGCTGTGGAAATGGCTTGCTTGTACCTATACATAAAACTGATGAGGTAACCAAACCTGTTATAAGTGTGTGGCGGTTGCTTTGCCATATATCGAAATATTATGGACCGATATAAATTACACCGTCAATCAGATGACATGCAACCGTACATGCTGAAGCAAAGGATTGGTCGTGGGTATAATGACGGGCTTGATTGCTGGAGCCAGAACGACGAAAAACAGGACACATTGGCAACTGTGGTAGTCAATTTCTCGAAGAAAAAAAACCCTCAAGTTTAAGTTGAATTCAATTGACATGATTCTTGCTCAGTTGAGTTGTTCAATATGTAATGTATTTAGGGAGTATGACCAAAACCACAAATCTTGACCTGAATAATGACAATGTCGGTTTTAAAGTTACTTGAATGTCAATTGTGAATTTAGAGATGAAAAGCCTTGCTTTACTCTAATAGACGGCAACACTCGGATTGAGTACTGAGCTAATTAGAACGGATTGTCGATGTTTCAAACAGCTTTTTTAAGGAGTAGTTGGCGGTGCCAATTAGAACGGATTGTCGATGCAAATATAGTGTACCCGGCATGTCAACTTGACTGATAGTGACTGATAGTGATTTAGGTTTTTGACAGCGAAAAAATCATATAATAGAGAAAATATCGCTAGCAAGGTCTTCTCGTAGGCACGAATTCAATGATACACCTTTCGAACTGTTTTAGATGACTCATGGAGATATCAGTAATTGCTACACGATATATTTGCTGGTCTCAAAGAAGTTGTGAACAAATTCGCCAGAGATTGGTCCATACTTACAATCCAGATTCTCCTACATCAATCGAGCTGAATGCGAAAATATATCATGCAATTACCACGTTCTCGAGTACGGGTAAAAATATATGTAAGGTCAACTTACGCACAATGAAGCATACTTGTGGTGATGCATCGCAAGTCTGCTTCGAATACCCACGTAGACTGTACAAATCGGATAGACAGTCTAATATCTTCAAAAAAGCAATCGTCAATCGTTCGTTTTTTTCTCTTTTTGTTTTTCTTTTCTCTTCTGCAAGTCAACATGCGAATAGTTCATAAGATCTTCCTCGTAACATTCACGCTCGCAGTTCTTTCCAGTTTTGACAAACGGACTAAATACTACTCGTTTTAATTTTGACGTGAATTTCGTCAGTATCTCTTCGTGACTTTTGATAAAATAGGTTTGGCACGAGACTGACTTTATGCAAATTAGAATTTTACGTCACATATATATCGATGCTTTGTGTGATGATCATACTGTACACTGACAATACTTATGAAGTATGTAATTATCACAGTCTCCGCTTGTGGTATATTTTATCGTTAGCAACTGTGCGTTAGTGCAATTGTTGATACCTTTGCACAATCGCTTGTTTTACTTAAAAATTCTCCTACTGTAACCTTCATGTCTGTCTCCGCATCGAAATACTAGTAGTCTGCACATTAATCGAACGTTTACAGTGACGTCGTACCAATACGGATAGTCTTGCCAATAGGAATAATATTATTTGTTTCAATTTAGGGTAAACTTTTATGTCTATAAATGCGCATCAGGCTTCATATTCGTTGGAAAGGTAAAATGTAAAATCAAAATTATCTTATTCCTTCGAAATTGCCACAAAACTTTGTGCTCTCCAGTACTTTTCCAACAAATTAAAATAAATAATGTTATCCTTATGAACTCTTGGAAAATATTTACTTTATGTTTAATTTTGATTTCTCACGGTATTTACTATTTTAATATGATTTTCTCCTCATCTATTTCCCATAGAAAAATAATGGGGCATGTGCTCCACGTTTCCTCCTCTTGTTAGCAGTACTACAAAATGAACGTTTATTGATTCACTCGATACATGTTGTTCGCATCGAGTAGTCATACGAAACATGTGCTCAAACCAATTGTTCCTTCGCTTTATATAAAATCGACATTTGATGGTTGTACTATTTTGATGCTTGTATTTTTTAGTACGAAAACATTCGTTCATTTCCACATATTAAGTGTGCCCAATAAGTTTGTCGATAAGTGGTGGGTTTTTTTCGCAGCCCATCAGTCGCTCAATCAATGTAATATTCGAGTTTTTTTAGCTCGATCATTAAATACAATACCAAATCACAACGTTGTAGTTAACCGCGCACAGAATACATCCTAAAAAAGAAAATATACTACATGTACAAAAAAAAAATTAATGGTACTAGCTATGCTAGTAATATATACCTATGAGTAGGGTTGTTGCTTATGGTCATCATGGTACTTTCAGTTTCGTACTCTATTTGTATTTAAAAGTATACATACAACTAGCTAAAATCGAAATTTCATTTGTTTCTATATTGTCAAGTGTTAAGAATCGGGTATACTCGAGCGTGTATGTGAGGAAATGAGACCAGACACTTCCAAAACATTATCCAGCAAAGACTAGTATTTAAATTCACTTACAGCTTGAGCGCAAAATGAAACCTTGGCTCACGTGATTGGTCAATGGTGAAAATCCAATGCGTGTATAAAGGGATGATATTATATACTTTAATTTAGGGTAAATTATTGTATGTCTATATGCGCATCAGGCTTCATTCCCGTTGGCGAGGTTCTGGGAATATAGAAGAAAAGTTATGATTGTCGAACTGCCGTGAGAAGCTTGGGGCGTGTGATGCAACGATGGAGGACATACGACATACGGTGTATTAATCCGCGCCGATGGATACAGAACAATTCCACCTTTCGGTGGGAGCTAAAGCACCTGTGCTATCGTGTGAAGAAGAAGAAAAAGGCCCACACTCGTAGCGGTAATCAGAGCTGAATCAGTATGAGAGCAAAAAAAACAGTGTTGCTTTCCTTCTTTTGGTTATCTTGTGCAATATTCACAAAAACAATTTGTCTGATATTGACATACTAGGTAAGTTTGTACAACCCATGTCTTACTCTTTGCGTTAGTTCATTGCAACAAAATAAATCGTAAATATTGTTCTGTACGCACTTATGTTGAGACACGCACATAAAAATAACCAACCTTCATGTTCAACCATGTCTCGTCTTATCAAAAAAAAAAAAGTCAAAGACTATCCTCCTTACACTACGCCTATTTATGGTTTGACTACTACGCATGAATCAAACGACGATAAAATCCCCTTTTTTTTATGTTGTTTGTATACCATGCCTGTCAATCCACCACATAGCTGCTATATCAAATGTAAATGCGCGCAGTTGTATAGATGTATAAACTATTTTGTTCCCCAGTCATAGTATACTTGATATCGCGACTGTTTATGCCAGCGCTGTAGGCTGGGGTTTAAAATAGTTACTCGGTATTTCGTACTCTGCACTAACCCATTCCGCGGCACTACACGGCGCAGACCCGATTCGTACCACAGAGGTGGGTACTCTACTTAGTAGGTCAGCAAGCGAATATATGGAACATTCGATAGTAACAGTGTTTTGTCAACACCGGCCCGAATTGACTCAGCACGTATCTTCCATTGTCGACTCACTTGGCCCAAGCTTCAAACGGGAATTTACTGACCACTTCTTCCCATCAATCTTTCCTGAACCACTACAGCGACTATGAGAGCCCTACCATATGTTCATACATTGTATCATACATACTTGCCATTTTTGAAATAAATAATATTATCCCTATATATGTTTGGTAGTAGACGCATCCTTGCAGGCCTTGCAACAACTTTATTCTCGGACAACATGAAGCCAAGCAGTGATATGCATTAAAAATAACAAATACAGACAGCTGAATACGTTTGTTCTTAATTATGCATTTTAAATGTACCCTAGGACAAATATACACCTCTTAGGTTGAGACGTTTGTGTGTGCGCGCGCGTGTACCATGCACGTGCTTGTATATTTTTTTGGCTATTAGATATACCAAGACAGCAATGCCTCACACACACAAGATGTAGAACACGGTATTCGTTGCGGAGTATTAACAAATCTAAACTGTAGATAGATTTTTTTTGCAATCTTAGCCTTATGATGCTCAAACTATGTAGTATCTATGTATAGTCATTTCGTCAATGTATGTATCTTTGGTCTCCTCGATTTGACATTTATAGCATTTTTTTCATCCGTATTCAATAGACAAATCATTTCTAGTCGGTCACTTACAATGTGATACGGTGATGGTCAGTTGCAAGGTTGTAACCATGCACCAAAGGAATACCTATACATATACTAGTGGCCATACTTGACGTTACCAAGATGCAAAAAGAGGATTTCGTATACATGAAATATCGTACCGGTAGGCGATGTTTTATCGCCTGTTTTGTTAGTACCAGGGCTTGGTTGACAGCCATGGACAACGATATAGTATGATATATGAATTTCATCGCTATACTGAACCTAGAGTTTTGTCCCTACAAGTGTACTCGGTTTCAATCACATTACAATTTCTATTTTCGACCAATTTCACAATATATAAAATACTTCTGCTTTTTTACTTTTTAAGAATAAATCTACGTCATTAATTGCAACTATTCCTAAATGCAATAAAAGAAGAAAAGCGTGAAAGAATGAAACATATGCGGGTGACCACGGCCGGCGTAAGCTCTCCATGGGACTGCAGGTCGTACCTGATTAAAATGTTACGAATATTTTGTTGCGCATAAGTGTATTCAGGCCTTTTTTTTTTTGCTTTTTCTCGTGTCAGCTGTTTTCTATGGCATGTCGTTGCTGAAATATGTAGAAGTACTTTTTAGCAAATTGTTGTCCGCCATCATGAGATAATTCTAACCAGTACTCACTGAGTTTCAATGTCTAATCGTGATCGCGAAAACAAACGAAATACTTTCTTTCAAACGATACAGTGTGGACACGCGCGATGACAAAGTTTGTCCGGTATAGTAGGAAAGTGTAACCTTGCGTGAAATAATAATGTGGTATATTTGCGAGAGCCAGCGTAGTCTGTCTATAGCGACCGAGGACTTTGCCGCGAGACTTGAATTTTAGAGTAGCTATTCAGTGAGACATAATTGGATGTTCCCTAAAAGCATTTGTTTTTCGTTGCGTTGGACTGTTTAACATCAGTGCTTATCTGACATTTCAAGACACAACCAATACTGATTGATTGTTTGTACAATATCTGCTGAAATTAACCACAAGTTTCACCCAATATTTTCAATGGTCACTGTACATGAAGGGGTGTTTGATTGTCTTAACACCAAACTCGTATGGTGTTTAAAAAAGCACGGATTGGGTATAATGTTTAAAGAAACACGGATCAGGTTGGCAAAGCACCGGCGGGCGGCAACCAGCGTAGTCTACACGAATTTCCAGGATAGACTCAAAGAACCATACTAAAACATATCAAATATATGAGCATAACATTTTTATGACTTTCTGTACGATCGCTTGTATCGTTAATCATAAGCTTCTGTAGACATCTGATTCACATCCTGAACTGTGGACAACACAAGCAAAAAGGTGAGATTCTCCTATTTATGTTTTAGGGTTTCGGGTTTAAGGTTTAGGGTTTTTATAAATTTGCAACCATGCCGTGTAGTAAATAAATAAAAATGCACATGACAATTTAGGTTGTTTGTCTTCTTATAGAATTTCCTGATATTAATTGATGACGGCAAAAGCTTAAAGTGTGTTTCTTTTTCTCGTATTTGGATTGATGTATACGTTTCGCGCGACAACACTTTTTAGTGGTGAAAATCTTGTTCTAGTATCACTCCATGGTGTGCCATCCCCGCAGTTGATCTCCTCGTTTCAAGCTAGCCCAACACTTGAAGTACGGAGTAGCATTCTTTAACTTCTAATTCAAGATATGCAACGTTCCGCGGGAAACCTCTTTTCCTAGTGAAAAAGTATAGTTGGCATGATTAAAACTATATCTCGAGCTTCCAATTGGCTCCAGATACCGATTGAGTCAAAGTATGCGTAACCATACTGCACTTTCTTCGTCAAGCACTAGTTTTCGCTCGCCAAGAGGTCGTACTGATATTTGAAGCGATATTAGACCACCTGCCATCATACACCGAAAGACACTCGGCTATACACAATCAAATCAACCGATGCACGGCCCTGTATCTATAGAGAGCTCACACAAACAGACAATTGTGAGCGACAACGCCTGACAATGTTTTGAAATCAGTTTATTACACTGTGGAATTTACTGAAATCAATACCGGAAAATACTCGGAGATGGAAACTGGATTTTCGAATATATACACCAATATCAGCCCCTGACTCTTTATATAATAGATACTTTATTGCTTAGATACAAAACTCAGCACAATTTTATCATCAAACTCTTTGATGTAAACGCACTAGTCCACACGGCCGTGACAGGACATTAGTGATGAAGGGAATAATGAAGAAATCGGACTTAATTCCAATACGAAATACAATATCAATTTCGG